GCATATGCTCGCGAGGAGCTTGTCGTACAGGAATTGATGGCACCCTTTTAGCGCCGACGTGTTCCTGGATGGAAGAATAGATAGGCAGGGGGTATCGGCATTTGTCCATCAGCGCCAGCGCGCTGCAGCGCCAGTCCTGTCACTTTTCCCGCGGGGTTCACGCGAGTGCGAGAGGGAGAGGGAGAGAGAGCGCCCCACCTTGCGTGCGCTGCGCATACGCACGAGCGAGAGCGAGGCTCACCTGTCGTACTCCGCGTTGTCCTCGTCGCAGCGCTCGTCCTTGAGGTCCTTCCAGCTCTTGCCGTGGATGCAGGTGGTGACGAGCACCAGGTCGCGCTCGTTGTGCAGGTGGTACAGCGAGTTGCGCGTCTCGGACCCGATGCCGTGCACGTAGCGCTTGCCCTTGAACGCCAGCAGGTACCTCTTGGCGGCCGGGAAGTTGTTGGACGCCACGAAGCCCGGATCGCCCCCCTTCTCGGGGTGGTTCTTGTGGAAGAGCGGAATGGAGATGTCGAAGCCGGGGCGGAAGACGGCCGTGGACATGCTCGCCTTGGCCAGGATCGCCATCCCCGGGTTGAAGCCTGCGTGAACAAGACAGAGAGAGAGGGGCATGTTATCTGGGGTCGAAATAGAAAGAGAGAGAGAAAGATCTTATCGGTGAGAGGTTTATTTGAGCCCTGGGCAGTGGGCTCTCGCTGCCGGGCCCGGCCGGGCCCCCCCCCGGGCCCCGGGCCCAGTCGGGCGAGCGGGCTCAGCAGAGGGAACAGAACGAGGAACAGAAAGAGAACGTTCACGGGGTGGCGTTTCGGCCGTAACTTTTATTTCACGCCGCCCACCCACCTTCATAACAGATCAATTGCGATAAAGGTAGTTCCTACAAGATTTCAAAATAAAATAAAAACACTACTGTTACCGGGTACACATTTTTACGAAACAAACAAATGCGTCACTATCTCACCACACACACACACACACTGAATTAATATTTACAATTTCGTCCAACTTTATGCATCCTGACAGTGAGAGCAAAACCAATGTTCATTGTAAAAAATGTCCATAATAATATCGAGGAAATTATGTGATTAATGTACAGCGACATACAGCTTTTCCTTTCATTATGTAATGCACTTGCTCAAATCGTACACTTTATCATTTTTTCGGGAAAGATTTTGATAGAGAGAGGTTTACATTTCAGTTCAACATAGCTATCATCGGATAAGACTCTAGTGCGCGCGGTGCTCGTGTTCCCGGGTACCCAGTAAACCATCGAGATACAGGCGGAAGGGTTCTTTCGGCCAGTTGCCACAAGGATGCGAAACGAAGAAACCGTCGGGGAAAAAGAGGGGGAACGAAAATAATGATCCCGATCCTGGAATGCTGAGGGGGTAGGGCCGTGTCGCCGACCGCTCCCCTCCCCCTTCCACGCTGCTGATTACCTTATCACC